GGTGATATAGAATAGTTTTCTTTTTTTCTGGAATAGAAGTAGGAGTTAGTTATCAAGCCTCATAAGCACTGTAAGTAAAACTGGATATCCGGGGTGGCGGAAAAAAACAAATGAGCGTATCTCAAATACCCCTTCATTGGTTTATGCGCTGTGAACAGGAACAGTATAATTTATTTTTCAAACGTTGCTGTGAATTCATTTACTGAAAAGAGTGACATGTTGATCTAGGCCTATCTTTGTTCAAGAGGAGTTGCACCAGTTGATCTAGTTGTGTGTTTCTGTGCGTTTACGTGTAGTGTGTGTTTGTGTGTGTGTGTGTGTGTGTGTGTGTGTGTGTGTGTGTGTGTGTGTGTGTGTGTGTCTGTGTGTGTGTTTAATACTTTGCTTCCTATCGGCGACTCGCCTGTGTGCACACCAAGATAGGAACAGACATCAGGAAGCAAAATTGTGACCTGTTGCAATTCATACTTTCGATAATTTTGACAGTTTATGCCCTTTTAGTAGACAAAATCTTTCAAAACACATGCAAGTAATTGGTCACACTTGCAACTTTATTTTTTACTTTACTTTCCTTTTAACGCGTTAGCCAGTTGATTACGGATTAAAATAACTTGTAAACTTATTGGAAACTATTTTTGTGCTGCAAACGATGTGGGTGATTTAAGTATTCAGTGTAATTCTTGATGAGCACAAGAGATATTTCAGTTTTGTGTTCAGTAATTCTTTAATAAGTACGTCACATTTTTCTTCATGCTTCACATAGCTTAAATATTTTGAATTTCATGCTAAAGTATACTCAGCTCAGATCTTCGTCAAGTAACGTTAACCTTCTTTACTTCTTTCCAGTGGCCCCCTTTGGAACGGTGTCATGGGTGGAGGTAGATGGAGAAGTCATTTCACAGTCAGTAGTTATTGCTAACTATTTTGCCAAAGAGCTTGGTAAGTGAATTATGATTTGTTGAGAGAAAGGGGACTTTGGTGGTTTGAGCTAGATCTAAATATCCATTTTGGTTTTATGGACGTTTTGTAACGTTAGTCATAGTTGCTTTTTAATAAACGCAGTGATTTAGATGTTGTTTTGACTATGAGAACCCATAGAGCTGTCAAGACCCTACAAAACACAAAACAAAAGAAAAAACCCAAACAAATAAGAACATAACAAAAAACAAAAAGCACCAAGATGGTAATAGGAGAGCGCCATTGGTGTGCCCTACTTCTGTTCTCTAAATCTGTATGTTTCAGTCTGTCAGTCTTTCTCTTTAGCAGCACTTAATGACTGATATCATGTCGATAATAATTATGCTTCTCTTTACTCAAAGTGAGAATGTAACTTAATATAAGTAACAACAAAAACAACAACAATAACATCATCAACAGCAGCAAAAACAACAACAACAATAATAACAACAACAACAACAACAAAATACAACAGCGAATGATTAGGAAACGCAATTGTCATAATACTGTACAAATTTACAAAGAAATAGGAAACTATTTTCCTTTGTCAACTAAGTAGCATTGACCTTTTATAAGACAAATCATCAGGTTTGTTTGCTTCTTTCTTTCTTTATCCTGACTGAATAGAGCGATGTTTCACTTTCTTTCAGTTTCAGGAGGAGGGGGGGGGAGGAGGAGGAGGCAGAGGCGAAGAAGCAGGGGGAGGTGGAGGAGGTGATGGAAGAACAGGAGAAGAAAAAGACTGACAAGAGGAAAAAAGGGGAGGAAGAGGAGGAGGAGGATGAAAGAAGGAGGAACATGAGAAAAAACGACTAACAGGTAGAAAAAAGAGGGTAGAAGTAGGAGGAGGAGGAGAAAAAACTGAAAAGAAGAAAAGAGACATGGGAGAGGAGGAGGGCGATGAAGAGGATGAGGAAGGAGGAGGAGGAGGAGGAGGAGGAGGAGGAGGAGGAGGAGGAGGAGGACAGCAACAACACCACAACCAGCAGAGTCACTATCACAACAGAAACAACAACCACTATAACAGCAACAGAGATAGCGACGACAGCAGCTACAGCAGCAGAAGTAGCAATGTAGCAGCTGCAGCTGTAGCAGGAGGAGTACCTATACCAACACCATCAGTGCCACCATCATCACCTCCAACAACAATGACACCACCACCACCACCACCACCACCACCATCATCATCAACAACAACAACAATATCAGCACAACAACAACAACAACAAATTTAAAACAAAACAACAACAACAACAACAAGGACACTAACAATAACAACAACTGAGTATGTGATAAGCTTGCAAGTTATAAACTCTGATTTACTGCCTTTACCACCACCACCAACAACAACAACAACAACAACAGGTTGATTTAAATCAGTTGATTTTTTAAATTTAAATCAACTTGATTTTTAAAATAAAAATCAGTGATTTAAATCACTTAAAAATTTTTTATATTTTTATTCGGTTTTTACACATTTCAACATTCAGAATTCCTTTCCTTGGTTTCATAAAACAGATATAAGGTTCAGTAGACTAATATAACCATGCTTAAAAGTCTGATTTCCCCCCTTTTCACTGTAAAATAATACAGTATTCAATTTACTTTTTTTTTCCATAATTGAAATCAGAGCTGGGTTGATTTAAATCAGTTGATTTTTTAAAAATTTTAATCAATTTGATTTTAAAAATAAAAATCAGTGATTTAAATCACTTTTCAAAAAAATGTATTCAGTTTTTTTCATATTTAAACTATCAGAATTCCTTTCCTTGGTTTAATTTTAAACGGATATAAGGTTTAGTAGACTAATATAATAATCATGCTTAAAAGTCTGCTTCCCCCCCTGTCACTGTAAAATAATACAGTTCTCAATTTACTTTTTTTTCATAATTGAAAACCAGAGTTGGGTTGATTTAAATCGGGTCGATTTAAATCAGTTGATTTTTTAAAATTTAAATCAACTTGATTTTAAAAATAAAACTCAGTGATTTAAATCACTTTAAAAAAATGTTTTCTGTTTTTACATCTTTAAACATTCAGAATTCCTTTCCTTGGTTTTATAAAACAGATATAAGGTTTAGTAGACTAAAATTGCTTAAAAGTGTACTTTCCCCCCTGTCACTGTAAGTAGTAAAATAATACAGTATTCAATTTACTTTTTTTTCATAATTGAAATAATTAGCATTTTCTTTTTCTTTTTAGACAAACACAAGCGCGTGCTCACACACACACTGTAATAAAAATAAAATGCAAGTTTATCTATGCATAATTACCCCCCCCCCCCCTTCCTTTTAGACTGACATTTTCTTCATTTTTTGTCTGTAGCCATAATTCACTGATATAGCAGATTAAGGCTTTCTAAAATTGCAGAGTTGCTTAAATTAATCATTAGTTAAAATAAAGACAATGCATTTTGCACTAAAAGAACATACTTTTAGCCACCAAAAATCCCTAACTGTGTCGACATTTTTTTTAAAATAAAAAAAATCCAAAAAATCCGATTTAAATAAAACAAAATCTGATTTAAATAAAAAAAATCGAATTTTTTAAATATTTATAAAAAATCAATAAAAAAAATCACCAACTCTGCTTTCAGCCACACTCGTTAATGTTAGGGTAAGTAAAATCGAACACCGTAGCCTTCTCAGATACGGGTAAAAAATCCCTGATGTCTCGTGTGAAAGTTTTGCACAAGAAAAGCAGCATCAGCATTGTTTGCTGTTGGAATAAGGGAACATTAAAGGAAAGGACACCTTGACTTTGTCGTTCCATTAATTATAAATGTACTTCTGGTTATCATTTAAATGAGTAAGAGAGACAGACAGACAGACACTATCTCTCTCTCTCTCTCTCTCTCTCACCCCCCCTCTCTCTCTCTCTCTCTCTCACACACACACACACACACACACACACACACACACCCATACATACAAGGCTCAAGGTCTGTTTATTTAATCGCACCTAATGAGTCTTATAAATCCAGTTAACAATCATATTTTAGTTCGTGAGTTTTTTGTTTGTTTGTTTTTTAAGGATAGGGAACACTTTCTAAAAATTGGTCTAAATCATACCCTTTGTTTTTCGCATGTACCTGCTGAAGATCACTGATCAGTGTCTCCACTAGTTATAGTGCCTTATCCTTGCCTGACTTCTTTCTGTTTGATACAAAAGACAACATGTGTAAACTATTGCTCACAGTTCTCATTGCCATAAATGTCAGGTTTTTCCATTACAGGCTGCTTTTTTCTATTACTGAGTACGACTCTGACAGTGACAAACAGATTTACAACAGTTAGCAATAAAGTTAATTAAGAATAACTGTAGTGTTAAATTCTAAACAGTGCACACGAAGACTTCAGAACTGATGATGGCAATACAATAATAATTTAACCCATAAGTGCATGAGGTCTTAAATTTTGTTTTTATAAGTTTCCTTTCTGGTTGTAATAAAAGGTACCTCAAGTTTTTTTTCTTAAACATTTATATTTTACAATTAGACTATTAGTGACCGATTTAAATTTTGCCCAACTAGTTGGGCGCCTTACACGAATGGATAGGCCTACGTTTTTTGTTTTGGTTTTTTTTTTTTATAGTAGAGGGCTTTACGGAGCTCGCAACTGCATAAGGTCATATGAGCGCCAAGGGGTGGATGTCAACAGAGAAGTCTTTACAGGGAATCAGACTTATTCTGCTCACCTCTCTAGCTTCAACAGCACAAGGTGCGCTTCGACTACCAAGGCATCCCAAAAATAGCAGGTCACAAGAGTGACAAACATACAAAAGAAGTAGATGAAAAATGACAATAGTAAGGATTAGGAAAGAAAAAGCAGCAGTTCCCTGTTGTAGATCAGGCACAGTTATGAGCGTGACATGAATCAGCCCATTTACAATTCTACTGTGCTTGAACGAGAAATGTTCCCCCTTTGGGAATGGCCTAAAGACACTACAGTCAGTGGCACTGCCCCGGGGGGCACAGACCTATGTGAAAATTTGAACACAGTAAGTAAGTAAGCTGACAAAAAATGTAAACAGTAACAATATCAGGAATTTTAATTACTTTTATTTACAAATACAAAATATAATTAGGTGAAGTTACAAAATGATTGCAAAATTGACTTTAGAACCGGGAAAAAGACCAAATTCAAAAATTTAATGGCGATGTGCACTTAAAAGCATATTTCTCAAGCAGAGGGCAGGAGGGGCATGTGTTGCATGCTTTCTTGGTATTGTCCTTAGACAAACTGCGTCTCTTTTCTGAGTTGGTAGAAACATCAAGAAAAACATTCCTGCATTCTTTTTTTTTATATTTTTAAAATTTTTTTACTTCAAATCCAATTGTTCTTTCTATTCTGCCTGGAATAGGTTGCCCACGGGCGGCTTTCCTGTACCTGATTATTTAACCTACGTCAAGATTCGTAATGTCGCTCTGTGACTTTTAAAAAAAGTTTCCAATTGATCACGATAAACGAATACCCACGCCTCCGGGTAATGGGTTCAGATTCGCTTCGAATATTCAGCCAACAGTGACGGGTCGGGATGCCATATAAGCCTTGATTTTGTCATTAGCTCCAACTTTGTCCCTCAAGGCTACGCACAATGGGTAGTCATCTAATGGTCCTGCGAAGTTCTTCAAATAACCAGTGAGGACGTCAAAGAGGGCGATATCAGCAAGGGTCATCTGGAAGTGGAAAACAGTACACAATGTTGACATTGGAAGAGGCCGCCCAGGGCACAGCTCTGGGGTTTTTGAGGGATAATATCATGTTTGACAACATCATGTTTTTGTTTTAATGTAGGTGTTTTAAATTTAAATAATTTAGGCCAACCCAGGCTGAAACAAACGCAACATCACTGCAGATCCAGATAGACTGAGACACTCGATAAAAATCCTCCTCACAAGGGAATCGACCTCGGGTTTTCCGCGTATGATTGCAAAGAGCCTAACCTCTACACCACAGACGCTGGTCTACACCAGGTGGCGGTAACAGGAGAAAAAAGAAAAGTAGTAAAAATGTCCAACATAAAATGTCGTCAACAGTGGCGACGCGTCTATATAATCAAATAATCACTGCTTCCGTTCCTAATTTTGAAACATTGTTGTAGTCAAATTCACCTGTAAACGTAAATATCATAAATTAAATGTAAAATGACGTTCATATTCACCAATGAACAGTAAGCCTAACATTCAAAACGCTTTCATTGCCACAGATATAGCCTGTTCACCCCTTTCGAGCCGCTCTATAAGGAGTCACAAGCCTTGATTAAGTAAGCTTAAAGTGAGGCAGGAAGAGTCTACCAAAAGAGTTGAAGGGAACATGTATACAGCACTCAACAGTTTCATTGCCACATACACCCTTTCGGGCCACAGTTATAAGCAGTCACAAGCACTGCTTATGTAAGCGAACTATTACACTGGTCGAGACTACCTCACAAATGTTAGGAAAACTAGCTCCTGATAATCTCCTGACTGTTGCGAGTGCTTGTTTTTTTCCCCTCAACTTTTTACCGTCCTATAATCAGATCGTGACCTCGATTGTGACACCGGCTTCTGGCCGCGAAAAGTTTGGCAAAAACAGCCAAATGTGAAATAAAAAATTGACAATTGTCATACTCTACCAAAGAGTTTAAACGCGTTGGTAATACATGTATAGTACTGACATTTCTGTTTCTTTGCATTGTGTTTGTGTATTCACATCTGAAGTTAAAATTTTATTTTAGTTGAAATTAATATTTAATGAGGTACTTTCCCGATTATTTTGGCTGTTGAAATACAATATAATGAATTAAGAATTTGTTTTCATTCACAACTCAGTGTTGCTGCCTCGAGTAAAATTCTTGCGTGATATCTCCAGGCCCTATCTGATCCCGTCTCCCTGTCAAACAAGTCAACCTTCGCCCTTGGTCGTCAACTGTCTTGATCCAATGTTTAACCTTCACGTATATTTTGTTCATATACAATGTACGATTTCTCTTTTTTACTTCAAAGAGAGCTGTAGTCACAAACTGGGAACACGTTTAAAACAGGCACGCAAGGAACAACAGTAGGCGTCCATATTGGCCTGTGAAAGGGAGGCAACAGTTCACCAATTGGTCGGTATATTTTAATAATTTTTTTTTGGGGGGGGGGGGGGGATACATAACTGCCTTTCCTTCTGTAGTTTTCCTGAAAGGAACTTCAAAACAAAATCACCGCCGGTAGGAGGGGACAATGCTCTGAGATACCTTTGCTCGTATCCACAGCAGAAACAAGAGCACATTTGTGAAAATCACATTAAATACTATTCGCTCCATCATCACAGACAGGGAATATACAGTTTTTGGAATAACAGAAACTTATATCATGCCTACTTTAGAACCACTTTAGTCAATGTAAAAGCGTTTGCTAGCTTTACATTTTTTGTTCATTTCCTATTTCATGACATCGTCCTTTCTCGACAAGGTTAAGTTGGTGAGCTTTGAATATCTCTGAACAACGTAGGTTCAGAAACGACATCCTGGGAATAACAGCTGTATTCTGCCGCCGTACCAGGGTTTGGAAAGATACTACTTGTAACAGCCAAAATAAAATACACAGATGCGCCACCTAGAGAGAGAGAGAGAGAGAGAGAGAGAGAGAGAGAGAGAGAGAGAGAGAGATTGCCACAGTCGAGATATATGGGTTCAACAAAAACTTTAGTAGCCTACAGGTTGATCCAAAAAAACTTTACAACTTTTTTTCTGAATATCTCGTGCAAAAATTGTTCTAGAATGCTGTAATTTGGGACCGACACAATTTGTTCAAAAGGAATTTGTTTGATATAAAATCCACGAAGAAGAAACATTTTTTGAAAACAGAAACGGCTAACAGAAAAAAGCACCCAAAAACACAAAGTTCACCAATGTTTAAAGATCTTGTAAAAGAAGTCGTGAAAAGATTAGTTGACCTTTTTCTTTATTTTCTCTTTGACATTAATTTCCCATCCCTTTGACATTTAAACAATATTTAATTTCTTTTACAGATTTTTAAAAACCTAATGATTACATTCTGAAATTCCTAGAAGCAGTGCTCCACATTCCCTCCTTTGAACTCGACACATCTTTAACGCGTCGTTCGAAATGCTCGTGGCGTCCTAATACAAGGACCTGCTAAACCATGAGTTTTTAAAGCCATATACACTCTACATGCTTACTAAAAAATGGTGTCTAGAGAAAATAGAGTGGGGGTGCCCAATAGACAGCATTTTTTAAGTTAACATACCCCGCAGGGTGAAAATCGGCCTTGCACTAAACCAAATGTCTTCGAGGAAATGATCCCTCTTTACAAGACAATCGAGGAATCATGAAAACATTGCCATGCTCTGATCCATGTCATCTCGGCCTAGCGAAGATGAACATGGTATAGTCGTAGGTTAAGATATCGATATGCCATGAGAATGCACACTGTTGATGTGTAGGAAAGTCCTGGCTGCAGATCGTCTACGGACAGACGTCGGACTCGGCTACTAAAATCTGCACTTTGGTGATGTTTAAAGGGCTGCACATGGTGCGTGTTCGACCTGAAGTGGTCATTTTTTAAAGAACTTTTTAGTTCTGATTCGCTATAGATCAAAACTGATGGAACCTCTCTACTCATGACGCCAAAGGTCTTGAGGACACCTAAGCATTCTGTCCATGCCGTGCGCAGAACGGAATATCAGGGATGGTGAGTTTGTGGAGAAGTAATGTTCAGTACAAAACGCTCTCTGCTCCCTGATCTCAACAGGCAAACAAAATGTGGGAAAAATAATATCTGCAAATTTCTGTTGACTTGTTAGACTGCTGTAGTTTGCAATAAGGAGCATTTGGTGCAACTTTAAAGTAGTAGGCCTAATGCGAAATGGTGCGTCATGCTATGAAAATTGCGACAAGGTTGGAAATGGGATCTTTTTTTAAAGCGCTATATAGAGCAAAACCATTTATTGGACTTATGTAAAATACGTATCATACAAATTCCTTTTGGCTTCCAAACGTTATGTCCAAATCTGAAACGCAAAACTTCAGTATGGAGGAAGATATTTACAAAACAAGTTGTAAAGGTTTTTTTGGATCACCCTGTACTTCAAAATGGAAAGAATGACGACCAAAAATTGAAACAAAAAATTCTGGGGTCGAATATATATTGAACAAATCAAAACAGAGAATCAATCTCCGTCATATGGATCAGTATATTACAGCTTATATGCACTATAACCCCCACGGGGCGGTGCTACTGTCTGAAGTGTCTTTAGGCCATTCCCAAGAGGGGGGGGGGGGGGGGGCGGGGCATTAACATCTCGAATTCTTATGCACAGTAGAATTGCAAATGTAAATGGGCCTATTCATCAATGTCACGCTCAAAACTGTGCCTGAACTGCAACAGGGAACTGCTGCTTTCTCTTTCTTAATCCTTTCAATCGACATTTTTCCTCTACTTCTTTTGTATGCTTGTCACACTCTTGTGACCCGCTATTTCCGGGTGCCTTGATAGTCGCAGCAGACTTTGTGCTGTTGAAGCTAGAAAGGAGAGCAGAGTAAGTCTGATTCCCTGTAAGGACTTCTCTGTTGACATCCACCCCTTGTTGGCGCTCATGTGAACTCATGCAGTTGCAAGCGCCATAAAACCTCTACTAAAACAAACAAACTTATAACTTATAAGCTCTATAAATTCAGCAATTTGTTGAAATCACCCAAATTGCATAGATTTTGTAGACACGAATATTATGAAGAAAAATTAATCATGTTACCTGATTTCCTACAACATAACCTGTTCCACTGGCTTTTAGAATTTTCTCGAAGAATCCAAAGAAGCGAGGCATAGTATTTTTCTTGCAGTCTTCGGTCAGCTCTCTCTGTAAGTTATAAACAAAAAGAAAAGAATTTAAACTCTCAAACTAGCTACCAATCTATTCTAAAATAGCAACTACAACAACAACAACAGCAACAACAACAAGACAGACAAAGAGAGAGAGAGAGAGAGAGAGAGAGAGAGAGAGAGAGAGAGAGAGAGAGAGAGAGAGAGAGGGGGGGGGGAGAGAGAGAGAAAGATAGAGAGAGAAGGAGAGGAGAGGAGAAAGAGAGAGAGATAAAGAGAATGCGTGACAGATTAGATAGATAGATAGAGAGAGAGAAGGGGGGAGCGAGAGAGAGAGAGAGAGAGAGAGAGAGAGAGAGAGAGAGAGAGAGAGAGAGAGAGAGAGAGAGAGAGAGAGAGAGAGAGAGATAGATAGAGAGAGATAGATAGATAGATAGAGAGAGAGAGAGAGGAGATGAAAAGGAAGAGAGAGAGAGGAGATGAAAAGGAAGAGAGAAGGGGAGAGAGAAGGATGACCTTCCTTACAAAAGAGTAGGGGAAGAAAAAATAGGGGTATAGATTAAAGTAGATTAATGGTGTAGCTACCGACTACGATGGAGCGAGAGCAGGATTGATTTAGGGCAGTCATGGAACCTTTTGAGCAAGAGAAAGTCAGGAGAAAGCCATGTCAGGCCACCGTCTTTGTAGTCTCAATAACTCAGATGTGAAAGAATTCAGGGTGGTTCGTACGTGCGCTGGTGTGGTCTGCTCCTTCTCTCCTATCAAACAGCTAGTATTATTATCCTTGTCTCTCCTTTTTTGTGTCTTGTTTTTAACACCTCTTATCTTCGGAACTAATATGACCTAATTGTGCTGCAAGTGTCGTAAAGTAGGATGGATTTTGTAACCAGTTTTATTCACACTATACACGAACGATTGCCAAATAAACAACAGTAACATCAAGTTGATCAAATTTGCAGATGATTCAACCAAAATTGGGTTCATTCAGGTTGACCATACCGAAAATGCTTACTGGAATTGTGTACTAAACCTTTCTGAATAGTGTGAAAGTCATAAGCTGCTTTTAAATGTGAACAAACCTAAAGAACTTTAGAAAAAAAAAAAAAAACTGCTCCTGCAGCCATTCGAAATTAAAAATGAAAACGTCAAGCAAGTGTCAGATTATAAGTATTTTGGGTGTTTCAATAGACAACAAACTGGACTGGCGTGTCCACAATTCTCTCCTGCTTAAAAAAGTGAACAAAAAAAGACTATTTTTTCTACGGAAGCTCATGTATTTTACAGTTGATAAAACATTGAAGTCCATTTATTCTATCTTTCAACCATAGAAAGTATGATCAATTTCTGATTAACAGCATGGGCCAGGAACACAAGACAACAAGATAAAGAAAAATTAAATCGATTAATATGGAAAGCGTGCAAAATTTCAACATCTACATTCCCCTACTGGGATGAATTGTACCTTATAGCTTGCACTACTAGAAAAATTAATTCCATCTTTTTGGAGAATAAGCATCGACCTTGTTCCCTCAAATAAAAATATCAGTCAGAAGTAAAAAACCTAGGCCTCTGATCTGTAACAAATAAAGATACAGAAGGTCACTCTCACCATCATCCATCAAACTTCTTGTTATAAGTATTCATATGACCTTAGAGCATGCATCAGGATACCATTGAGTTACAATCAGAATACTGAGTATGTATTTAGCCTAACATAATTATTGTTTATATTACTGTTCATTTATATTTATATTATGCATGGGACTGTAAGCCTGTTTGTGTGAGTGCAAGCATACTGCATGTGCGTGCACGTTTGTGCGTGTGTGTGCATGTGTGTGTGTGTGTGTGTGTGTGTGTGTGTGTGTGTGTGTGTGTGCGTGTGTGTATGTGTGTACGTAGTGAAACACCAAACCAATGAGCCAGAATCTGGGCAATAAAAATGTATCTTATCTTAAAACGCTTACCCCAAAACAAAAAAAACAGAAAAAAATTGCAGAAGAGTGGCATGATCGAATGATTGATTTGAGAAAAGCACCAACATGTTTTTTTTGGTCCTGATACTGGTCATCAATTGAAACCGCTATAACCATGAAGTCCTGAATGAGGTTCACCATCTGTTCGATATGAAGAGCTTCTTTGTTGTTCTTCCCAAAAAAACCTGCAAGGAGGAGGATGGATAATTTCGAGGATTATTTTCATGTTAACAATAAAATCTTTTTTTTTTCTTCAATAAATTAACCAATACGCATTATATAATGAGCATGTGTGACATGGAATCTACAGTACGTAAGAATATTGGTGAAAATGTTTCCAGGGGGCAGGTTACTTCTCGAGCCCATTTTTTTAAAATATAGAGAAAAATGGCATGAAACAAGCATACTTATATACCTTGGGTCATGCAGACAAAGATTCAAACACCTTATTTCGAGAAAATCTTCACGTTGTCATGGAAACAGCGGTCATATTGGATTTTGGACATTTTATGGTGGGTAATCATTTTTGTATTGTTTGACATGATAAGTCCATTTTTGTTTCGAAATTATCTTGTGGACATATAACTTCAATTTACTGACCAAAAATATTTTATAAAAATATGTACTTTTTAAAAGCGCCAGTGTATCTCCAAACTCAGAAGACCAATAATATTTTAGGGGTAGGGTAAGTGAAGCCTACAGAAAAAAATAACACTTACTGAGCAGGTCAAATAACAAGGGAAACCATGAACATTTCTGTTCTATTTTGGCTCGTTACCAAGGACACAGGATGTTTTTATGGCCGTTTTGATACTAAGGACTACACATTTAATCTTACAATTACAGGGAATCAGAAGAAGCGTAATTTTACAGAAAGTATATGATGTATACTTCCAAAAATTGATATCTGAGCCCAAAACTGGTCAAAAAAACCCACTTGCCCCCTTAATATATTCAAATTAAAGCGCACTATACACATATAATATATCATTTATGTTTTGCTTTGTATTATTTTGAAATTTTAAACTTCTATTTTTTTCCCTCATTCATACTTTGCTCTTGGTCTTTCCTTTATGACTGAAATAGATAAATTATGTTCCTCTTTTATTTCTCTCATATTCTCAGTCTGTTTCATTATCATTAATTGAAAATTGGCAGCAAACCCACCCATCACAGATAAAACTTGTAAATAATTTTACGAACTGATCCCTGTATCAGCGCAAACTTTGTCCCCCTCCTACCCCCCCCCCCCTTCCACACACAAATACACACATAGACGCAACACACACAAAAAAACAACTATAGTGCTCAGTAATTGTCAAAAGTAATAAAAATCACCATACTATAAAGCTAAACGAAACAAATCATCATCATCATCATTATCATCGTCCTCATCATCCACAGAAATAGCAGCAGCAGCAGCAGCAGCAGCAGCAGCAGCAGCAGCAGCAGCAGCAGCAGTAGTCGTCTTCAAAACAACACACCTAAATTTTTAAGACAAACCAACATGTGTCAGCACTGCATTTAAAAATCAACTATGACTAACGTTACAAAACGTCCATAAATACAAAACCAAAATGGATTTATAGCTCTAGCCACCAAAAATGCCTTTTATTTGTGCAAACTCAATTCACTTACCAAACTCCTTGGCAAAATAGTTAGCAATAGCTATTGACTGTGCATAGACTTCTCCATCTACCTCCACCCATGGTGACGTTCCAAAGGGGGCCTCTGGAAAGGAATAAAGACGGTTAAAGATACTTGAAGGTCTGAACTGACTGTGCTTTAGCACGAACAAAATACTTCAGTTATGTGAAGCATGGGAAGAATCATCTGACGTGCTTAAAGAATTTGAAAATGAAGACAGAGGCGAAGCGTCTATATAATCAAATAACCACTGCTTCCCTTCCTAATTTTGAAACATTGTCGCAGTCAAATTCACCCATAGACGTGAACCTCATAAATTAAATGTAAAAAGACGTTCATAATCACCAATGAACAATAGACTATGCCTTACCTTCAAAACCGTTTCATTGCCACAGAAATAGCCTGTTCGCCCCTATCGGGCCACTCCATAAGCAGCCACAAGCTTTGATTAGGTAAGCTTAAAGTGAGGCTGGGAGAGTCAACCAATATAGTTGAAGGGAACATGTGCATAGCAGTCAGAACTGTTTCATTGTCGCATATACCCTGTTCACCCCTTTCGGGCCACAGTTATAAGCACCCAGACGCGCTGATTATCTAAGCGAACTATTACACTGGTCGAGTCTACCTCACAGATGTGAGGGGAACTAACTCCTAATAATCCTTTGACTCCTGCTACTACACTGCTAGTGCTTGGGTTTTTTTCCTCGACTTTTTAACGTCCTATAATCAGATCGTGACCCCGATTATGACAGCGGCTCCTGGCCGCGAAAAGCTAGACAAAAAAACCAGCCAAATGTGAAATAAAAAATTAATAATTGTCGTGCTCTACCAAAGTGTTTCGGCTGTCTGGTATAACATGCCATTGTAGTGCTGACATCTGTGCTTCTTTCCTTGGTGTTCGTGTGTTCAAATCTAAAGTTAAATTTAAGGTTAGTTAGAATAAATATTTAATGAAATACTTTTCCGATTATTTTAGCGGTTGAACAAGCATACAACATGAATTCAGGATTTGTTTTCATTCACAACTAGAGGTGTGCGAGTCCAGCATATTAAGATTCGAGTCCACACTCGAGTATCTGCTCTGGACTCGAGTAATTACTCGAGTAATTACTCGAGTCCCACGGCTCTAAAGACTCGAGTAATTACTCGAGTAATAGTATCCCAAAAGGGAATTTTAGTGGGTTTCAAAAAAAGTTTTGTTGAATATCGGACAGAAAATAGAGTGCCTTCCTTGGAGGGAGCTTGAGTAGGCTTATGGCAATTCTAGACACATGCTGTTTATACCGTATTTATTTTATTTTATCTTAGGAAGTGGCTATTCTCACCCCAGGTGAGAATAAAAATGTGATCGACCTCTCACCCCGGGTGAGACTTGCCAGCGTTGGCTATTCTCACCCGGTGTGAAACAAAACCGGTTTTTCCTAATTTCTGAATACTTCCTATCGGGGAGGATGATTAAATAGACAAACCCCTTCTTTAAAAAAATGATATTATAACACAAAAGTAAAACTAATTTGACGGTCTACAAAGATGCTACTGCTATTTCACTTTTAGAATAGAGCCGAACTACCCTAATCGGCATTTTGTTTTGCCCAGAAATTCTCGCAATATCTAGGCTACTCCGCTCTCTCTCTCTCTCTCTCTCTCTCTCTCTCTCTCTCTCTCTCTCTCTCTCTTTCAATGCCCGCAGATAAAATTGCATGTTTTTAACACTAGAGAACTGGAACGTTTGTTTACACCACAGAATTCAATTTTTAAAAAGTGTAGATCTAGAATTCTGTGGTTTACACTGGGTATCACGGTAAACGCACACCGGAAGAGAATAGCCAAAAGACCCCAGGTGAGTGAGAAGCTTAGTGAGAAGCTTACAACTGTATAACAACTAAGCTAGAATAGAGGTGGTCTTTATCTTATCTTTTCTTTTCTTTAAAAAAAAATAAAAAAATTCTCTATTACAACAGTAAGAATAAAATGTACACGGATTGTAAACCTCAGACAGTGCACTTCATAAAGAAAAGAAGTTTGATTGGTCATCGTGGGTTTTTAACAGTGGTTTCCTTTTTGCTTTTTTCTGGGGGGGGGGGGGGGTTCGTTTTTTTCCTTTGGGGGAAGGGATTTTTTTGTTTTTGTTGTTTCTTTTCCTTCAGTTTAAAAAATTGCTTATTAGAATGTTTCTTTTATCTATTCTTAACTTTAAAAAAAAACAAATTTTTCTCCTTTTTTTCTGTTTTTTCCCCCTACAGACTCGAGTCTGGACTCGAGTCCAGACTCGAGTCCTTACTCGAGTAATTTACTTGTGACTCGAGTCTGGACTCGCTGCATGTATTACTCGAGAACTCGAGTCTGGACTCGTTACTCGCACACCTCTATTCACAACTCAGAGTTGCCGCCTCCAGTGCCAGTAAGATTCTTGTGACTTGTGTGAGTGTGATATCTTCAGGCCCTATCTGGTCCCATTTCACTTTGATTACCCTGTCAAACAAGTCAGCCTTCGCCCCTGTATGAAGACTGTAATTCGGAGGTCAATATCATTCTTGCACATTTTGTGTCATGAAAACTGGTAAAGTACTGACCTTAAATCTTACGAGGTACTGAACCCCAAACACAAATATCTATTGTGCTCCCCATGAAATACACTGAATACATAAATCGCCCACAGTGTTTGCAGCACGAAATTGATTCCCAGTAAGTCTACAAGTTATTTTATGGCGTAATCAATAGGCTAACATGTTGAAAGGAAAGGGAAGTAAAAATAGAGTTGCAAGTGTGACCAAATAGGCCTACTTGCATGTGTGAGAAAATTTTGTTGACTTGGGCATAAACTGTCGAAAACTATGTATTGCAGCTGTTCACGATTTTGCTTCCTGATCTCTGTTCCTATTTTGGTGTGCGCGCAGGCGAGTCGTCGATAGAAAGCAAAGTAGTAAACACGCGCACACACATACAACTAAATATACAAAATCAATAATATCACGTACTTGACTTCCACTTTGCCGACCAATCCTCTAGAGAAAACCTAACGTCCTCAAAAGGTTTTCCTGCGGCAGCAAACAACAGTCGAATCATTTCGGCACGGCCCATATAGTCGACATAGAAGATTTTAACCTTTGGGCTGGACATGATGCTGGTTGAGAGGAGATGATTCCAAAAACAAACTGCTGGGAAGGCTGAGCAAACTGAAACAACAAAAAATCAAGCTGCTGTAGACATTGGGTCATTCATAATGGGGACAAACAATAATTTTAACTCTGGTCCAGGGTTGCCTGATTTATTTCTGGTGTGGGGCCAGACGACAGGCAATTTTAGAGCCAAATTAGTTTTGGGGCCAAATCTCAATATTTCTGCAAATGTATTATTTTGTCCTCTTTCGAAGAGGTTATCAATAATAATAACAGATAGCATGTGTATCCCGCAAATTTCCGCTCAACAGTTAAGCTCCATGTACTTTACCATCTATTTTATTACCCCAGCCGACTTGATAGCATTCTGAAACAACCTCAACCTCCTGGGAAGCATACAGTGCAAGCTGCCATTTTATAGGCGTTAAAACACTACTTACGGACAATTCAAGGTTTTTTGCCGTTAATAAACGGGTACTCATTCCCACCTGGGTGAAGTGAGGAACATTCATGTAAAGCGCCTTTCACAAGGACACAACATATATATTATATTGGGCTCCTGATGGGATTCAAACTCACTGCATTACGATTGCGAGTCCGACAGCCTAGCTGCTAGGCCATCGATGCCATAGTAGCACAACTGCCACTCTACATCATATGACCCAAAACTGGCTTTTAGGTTCTTTGACAATTTTCGTCGGGTTAACAATGAGCTTGATAAATCGGTCATTACAAAACTGAGCTCACTTTGGTCGACTTTAATTAATTGGCTCGCCTGCTGAATAGCCTACAACAATACAGACAAAACCCATATTTAAAACAGTTCTAACGGACATAGGTTTACACATGGAAAGGAACAGAGTGTACAAGGTTACGTTCTTTCATTGTAGAGGGGTAATTGAACAAGCCGAAATGAGTGAGGGCATCAAATCATATTCAAAATCTGTATTTTATAACCGTCAGCAGTCCAAGCTCTTGTGTCTAGTATAATTATGTTTTTATCTCCTTTTTCTTTCTTCTTTTCTTTTCTTCTAAAGCTATTACTGGTGCACAAAATAAAAAGAGCCAGAGAGCCAAATAAAATTCTTCGGGCCAGACGCAATTCAAAAGATCTAAATTTCTGGATTTAATTTGGAGCCAAACTAACAACCCTGCTCTGGTCCAGCTTAAGCCTGGGCAGGATTTGGCTTCGGAATAGGTACTAATTGCAATTCTCACGTCCACCAAGTAGTGTTGAGACCATTGCAAGCATTTAGAACTGGGCAAGTCCAAAGTCTTGACCTAGCAAAATATCCTACAATCAAAAGGAAACATTATTTTAACGCATAATAGAAACTTTGAGTAAAGACTTAGTGAACATATGTCTAAAGAAATGCTCAAAATTGGCATGTTTCTAATTAATTTAGTGTCTTCAGTTGGTTGTTTAAATTCAAATACATCTACCACCCCTACACTTCCTCTCGTCCTACTAGGCGGATTGATTGAGCCCATTTCCTCGATAAGGGGTTAGCAGGCCAAGGCCAGGATAAGGCTTCAATGCCATCCAAGGCTGACTCAATTCCTGGCCAGTTTCAAATCCTTTCGTCTTTTCTTAAATGACAAGCTCGAGGCAGTACAATGTCCATAGGCCCTACATGAAAATGAGTAGTCAATTAAATCATATAATAAACAGGGCAAGAACTCTAAAAATAATTAGTTCATTATATAAATAGAGTGACCCACACAAATCCCTGATCTACCTAATCTCACAACAACGATAAGCAGTTATTCCATGTGAGCATTCATTGTTGGGGGGGGGGGGGGGGGGGAGATGGGAAATTCAGTATTTAGAGAACTTCTGTCTCTCCGCAGACGGGTGGAATGCCTATCTAGGCTATCTGACGGAATTGCCATTGGAATAAATACAGTCGAGTCCATTTATAACAGCCTCGGTTTTAACAGGAACTTGGTTATAACAGTGACTTTTCAAATCCAACAGAGAAACGTTTAGTAATACAACAGAGAACAGAACAAAAACAAACAAGCAAACAAAAATAAGTAAATTAATAAATAAAAGTGAACAAACAAACAACCAAACATGTATTACAAAGATGTTCCATTAGTCTCAACACAGGTGGTTGGTAGGAGAACAACAAAATTAATGACAACGATAAAGGGAAGTAATGAAGAAGGCTTTATTATTCAAATTACAGGTAAATACTTTATTACATCCCCTGGACTTGGAATTGGGTTTGGGATATGCAGATCTCAAGGTGTTGGGACTCGAGATTTGCAAAATTCCAATTTTTGGCTATTCTGCCCAGCCTAGCAGGTTAACCGGAAGAGCGTTCTTTTCGATCGATGACCCACTTACAGACATATATGGTCCAGACATGGACCCTGACTTAAAGTCTGGAACTTAAGATAACCACCTGCGAGATGAGATGTCTAAGGAGAGCCGTCAACAAAACCAGACGGGACATGGTCAGAAACAAGATCAGAGAAATGTCCTCCTCTACATTCGAAGGCTAGCAATCGGGTGGTTTTGACATGATCTCACACGTATGGCACCCACAGAATTCTACACTAAGTGTAGAATTCTGTGATGGCACCTAACCAGCTTGCCAGTAAAACCTACTACAGGGAAGCATCAGGGTACAAGGCCAGAGGAAGACCAAGAAAGACATGGATCCTTTTTGTTCGATTGTTTTAGTAATTGTTTTAAGGCACTTGCAATACAATAAGGTCATATAAGTACCGAAGATTAGAGGTGTTACAAAAGAGTTACAAACACAAAAAGAAGGAGGGGAGATAAAGACGATAGACGTTTGATAGGAAAGAAAAAGCAAACCACACGTTACCAGAGCACCCGCCAACCACCCGCAGACCTGGATCCAGGGTGTGAAGGATACCGTGAGAACATACAGTGAATCCCACCCAGCCAGGCCAATCAAACTTGCTAGATCTAGAGACAGGACGAGGCTCTATCTCCCCTCGACGCCCAAGAGGTACAAGAGGACAGCGGACAGATACAGTAAAAAAGACCCACTTACGTCGCCCGCGAGCTTGCGCCGGGCGCCGGAGTCAGGCAGGGGTCACGCATGCGTGCCGTGGGAGTCAATACATGTAGCCAATAATGAAAGAGAACAATGAAAAACAAGCCTCATCTTTTTTAGCAAATAGACTCAATCTATGAATAGAATATAAGTTTTACGACGACAAGAATAATCCCCTTATTAGTTTCTACCAAACTAAAGATGTCTAATGCGTCCCGTGTGTGCATATGACCTGATTAAAATTGCAGTTGAGAGCGCGTTGAAACACTTACCGACTAGAATTAGATCTAATAACTATTGTTCTTAACGCGGCATCTATATATGTATGCACCAAAAGTTTGAAAGAAAGGGGGAGGGTGGGGGGGGGGGGGGGGGGTGAGAGGGAGGGGACGAGGGGATGAAAACGTGACACACGGTAAACCAACACAAGGTGGAATTGTATTGTTGGGATGAGCACAGGAATATTTAGTTTATAGATCTACTAATAAACGGCACATATACGTGCTACTTATAACTTTAGAATTCTTTCTTTCTCCTTTCCCTCTTTTGTTGTTATTTTTCTCTCACAGCTGGGTCTTCTGCTTCTGTTTAGAACATGGTTTACCTCAAGCCAAAGCGAGTTTATAAAATATACCATTCTCATTAAAAATGTGTACGTAGAAGGAGGACATTCATTTGAATGACACTATCTTTTTATTTGAAAGAAAGCACAATAACAGCAATTCAATGGCGAAAAAGAAAGACAAACAGACAGAAAGAAAGAATAGAGGGACATTACAGTTGAGTAGGAAGTAAAAGGGTCTGAGAGCAGTCCCCCTACCCCCATATACCCTCCCATCCCGCAGAAAAAAATGGCAAAAACAAAACAAAACAAAAACAAACCACGCACACACACACACACACACACACACACACACACACACACACACACACACACACACACACACACATAAACAGCAACAATAACCCCCTCCCCCCTCAAAAGAAAAAGAACTAAACAAACAAACAGCAAAATAAACAAACACATGGAATTTATGCTGTTTGGAAGCTGTCTAAAAAGCCCATGACAGCTACTTTTTTGTTGGAAGCACTGGGAAAATAAAACACTGAACACTGAACACTCACAGCAGGGCAGTCATTCTAGACAAAAAAAACAACACTAAATACGATGGATGCTCTGCATAATATAGCGGATACACCTGCTACAACACGTTTTTGAATGAATTAAAATTTAAATTTTGGAAGAACGCTTTTTCAAAAACGGTTAGGCTGATTAAAAAAAAACAACCTCTTCCGGTGGAAGAGGCGACTGTTTTCTTCGTTTAATTTGACTTTAGAATGAGAGGCGAGAGGTCATTAAAATTTTTTAAAAACCCACTCCGCACTGAACGAACCCGAACAGCAGATGAACAACAGTTGATCTGCGCACAGAAGGGGTTGCTATTCCTACTCTTCTTCTGGAGAAACGAAAGAGAGCTTCAAAACAAAGACCGCAGCGCCATCTGAAGCAATGAGCGGACTTCGGCGGACACTTTTTGGGCTGAGTGAACCATCTTGTTATGTACTATCTTTGTTCTAGATCTATGTCAGAGCTGCATTCAGAAAGGACGCACGTTCTAACATTTAAGGGGGAAAATGCGTTAGCCCTAAGCTTATACACATATAATAAGCCTAATAAGCGATAGCCTACTCACCAAATTGGAGAACGTTTCGGTGAAGTGAAACTGAAGCTTCGACAGTGAGAAATTATGGCAAGAACTGGGGATCAAGTTATATATTGGCCGAGAATCTAGGCCTACACAGTAGTCTTCACGGGGTTGTTAAATGGGGCCAGAGTTCGGTCGTGGAAGGCGTTATTGGGAGTCGACTGCCCATATTTTAACAGTTGATGTTGCACAAAAACGCTATTTTTTATTTTTTACCTCGAAGGGTTTTGTCGAGGTTCCTTCGCAAAATTACGAAAGATAATTCGATCGGCTTCCAAAAAAAAAAAAAAAGAATGATAAACGAAAGTAATCCTAAATTATCTGAATCGAGTCTACCTCATTTGCATAAAAGGGAGGACTTCCGTAGTTTCAGTTGCCACCGTGGACAAGCGGGGCTTTTTCCGTACCGGTCTACCTGAGTTGTTTTTTTTGTGCGTCCATGTCGCGGTAAGGGATGAACAGAAAACAAAACAAAACAACGATTTCATTTCGCACGTGTTTTGAACGGGAAAAAAACCCTAACCCAAAAACTTACCCGGGTTAGGGGTTGGGTTTCTTCTTCATTGTATTTTGTTGAGGGTTAGGATTAGGGGTAAGGGTAGGTGTAGGGTTTGGGGTAGGGACAGGGGTAGGGTTGGTTAGGCCTCTTCTTAATTGTATTTGTAGAGGAGGTCATTTGTTACGAAAGTCCTTCCTGTTAGGATGAGACAGTGCATTT